TTTCTTGAGTATAGTGCCTTCCACAATCTGAAAAATAAACGGAGCTAAGTCAGTGAGAATTTGCTGAAGTATAATAAAAGGCAAACTGACGAGTTCATTCCGAAAAGTTACTGCGCAAATCACTGAGGAGTCCGATTATTCAGTAAATTCTCGTATCCATAAATTTTGCTTACAAATCGAAGAATAAATTGAATAAAATAAAATTCCTATACCTATTTTTCTTGGGAATGTTCCTCAATTTGGGTTATTATAGCAAATGCAAGTTTGAACAAAATAAAGTTGAGTTTAATTCATGAGTTTTCCAAATTTACTTAGTAAAATATTCAAATTGATGTTTCAAATGTTGGGTTTTAATTTTTGAAAGAATTTGTTTCTAATTCACTTATTGGCAACAACGCCAATATCGAGTTGAAATAATTTATGCGTACCTAGATATTCTTTTTTAAAAAAGGAAAATTATCTTTATGAATCAACAATTAGGGCAAAATATAAATTATAGTTCAATACCACCTCCAAAAGTCACATAAACAACAGTTGTTTTGTTATTTATTTATATAGAGGAAGATAGGTTGGGTACACAAAATGTCATATATCACAGAATGTCTCGGAAATCGGAACATAAGTAAACAGAAAGCACGCCTCTGAAATATGTCATCTTTGTTTGTCTCATACAGGTAACAGATTCATTTTCCTTTATTAGCTATAACCGATGTTGTCAAATGCTGAAATAGAAACGAATCCCATTAAATGTTGAAATCATTCAAACTTACCCCATTGGACCTCACAGAAGCATCAAAACAATTCTCAATTTGTTAGGTTGGTTTGGATTAGTTATTCCAAAATGAGGAAGGAATCAAATTCTATCCAAATTACATTTGATTTCTTCAGATTCGATTTCAGAAATATAACCTTTTCCTTCCATATCCTGAATTTTCTCGATATAGTTCTTCGCAAACGATTCGTCTCTATCCATTCTTCTTTCAGTAGCATGAAGTATCTTCAACGCATTGTCTCTACTATTTGGTAGAATCAGATCATCTTCTTTCCAAAGAAGACCTGTTCCATACTCATTTCCAACTCTTTTCATTGTTGTATCTAAAATATGTTGAGCACGTAAATCTTCTTTGGACATAGATTTTCCTACATCTGCATAAGTCTCGATTTTCCAGTGCTCCTTGACAAAATCATGTAGAATGTCGAGGTCGTCCTTCACTTTGCAATATGTATAAAAAACGAAATGTTCAGGTACAGTTTGATCATTATTCCTGAAATTACCATGTATGACACATCCAAGAGGCGTTTTACTGGCTACAAGCCCAGGCCAAGATCCTGATATAACTTTTGTACTTACCAGTAATTGCCAATCATCTTGCCCAATCAAAATTTTCAGTTGAGCGTCAACTAATGACATGAATCTGTTGCCTATATATGGATAACGTTCAGAAATTTCACTAACATTCACCGTTTGGCTTGGTAAAGATAAACCTTTGATTGTTCGAACGTGACGCACATAGAAATTTGAATTTTGATTTGAATGAAAAGATATTTTAAAACTGACAACTCGTGAATTATTCTGTGCTTCCACTTGATTGTTTGTCCATTNGTTCTTACCTGTCATCCACTTTTGTACGTTAGGAACGTAGCTTACCACTGACTCATTGTAGTCATCTGTTCCAGTTTTATCTTGGTAAGTAGATACTGACTAAATTTCTTCAATTTGGACTAGTTTCATTACAAGTTTTAAATCTAAGATTCCTTGTTGTTCTTTCAAAACCCCTCGCTGATTTTTGATTTCCAGTTGTTTCTTTTTTATCTGAATTTCGATTTCATATTGCTTTCGACGTCTTGATGAAGCAGTGCATCTTGTGCTGACTTTCTTGCTTTAATGAGATTCACCATGTACAGAATAATTCTTCTTGCTCTCTGCATTCATTGATTCTTGGGTAGATTTGTCAACGTCATTTGGATCTACCACCGATCTATCAGAAAAAATTTGCCCATGCACCTTTTCCGGTCTGTTTTATCCTCTCATCGGCTTCAGCATTATTTTCTACGTCTTTTTGGTTTCTTTTGTCAGCGAGTCGTTTAATTGTTCTCAATTCAGACATAATTCCGGCTTTGTATTACCAAATTGCTGTTCTTTATAGGCAACGAACGACCCATATGTTTTGACTTTACCTGTAGATTAGGTGTTATTGGAAATATCCAGTCTCGAAGAATCAAATTAAAATCCAATTTTTTGTCTGTCAAACTCTTATCAATTGTTTTCAACAACGTCACAGCTAACTCATTCATATTATCAAATATTTACAAAACATCAAATATAATTATACAGAATATAACGATTTCAAACTTAATAAACAAAATACACTCCAACATAATGCATTAAAAAACAGATATATTCAAAATGCTAATGATCCGTAAGTTTAATGGCAGTGTTAAACTGTTAACAGTAATAGCCTGCTTATTATCTGCAAAATAGAAGAGATCACCTGCAACTACTTGCCCGCGTAAGCATGTGGAGTGGAACTTTATTCAGGTTGAAATCGCCGGTGATGCTCACAAATTCCGCAATACTTTACCATTTTTTCAAAATCTTCATTCATTTCGATCCAGTATGTACATTCATTAGTTTCTAATCTACACTTGATAACTCTAGGTAACCTCTTCGAATTGAATGAAATAATAACATCTTCATTCTACTGTCAGGCCATACCTGGAATATAATAATATCATTTATTATTGAAAAGAGAGAGAGAGAGAGAGAATATATACAGCGAATATAATTTTTTTGCATAAATGATACCTACTCGATAAGTGTAGGTATCATTACCTTACTAAAAATTGCATTACTTTACTACATAAAAAGAAAAATATATTCGATCGAGAACAAGAACATTACAAAAATAAAGCATCACAGTTAAAAATATATATGGAAATGACAGTGTGATACAAAAAGCAAACACAATGATGAGAACATTTATACAGTATTTTTTTGTATAAATGATACATACTCGATAAGTGAGCAAACACCTGTTTCGAGATAAAAGTACATCACTTAACTACCTAATAAATATTCAGTCCAATACAGGAAAACTACCGAAAAATCAATACGCTTAAAAACCATATATGCGAATAATAAAGTACATTGAAAAAGCAAACACATCAATAGGAACATTTCAAAAGTACAAACATTTTGGAATAAGTAATAGTTATGAAAATAAAAATCAAACCTGTGCATAAAGAATTGAAAAGGCAAGTATAAATAAGATAAAATGAAATGAATCAGTTGAAGAACTTTGGTTCGACGTTCTCATTACATTTGGCACTTGGTGTTTCGTATATGATTCGTTTCACCTTATTTTTAACATGTTAAACTTCATTATTTTTTCAATATGGTCAGGAATAAAATTGAACGCCTTGGGTGCTATATAAGAAAATGATCTCTGACAAACAGATTTGCTCATCTGTAGAACAACATAATGGTGTCTTTGTACCAAAATTATGCGTAGATGAACAGGCGTCATTTTTTATTTTATTATATTCCAATATAACATTCAAACAATATAGTTGCCTCAGGTCCAGTATTCCGCATTCCTTATATAAAAGATTTGAAGAATATCGATGAGTTTTTTCTAAAATCAACTTCAGAAATCTGTTTTGGATTATCTCTAATGGTTTGATGTGTGTTCGTAGGGCACCACCCCAACCTACTATGCCGTAACGTAAGTGACTTTCTACTGAAGCAAAGTATAGTGTTTTCATATGTTGAAAGACAACATTTTCTCAAGGTATCTGAATTTATAAAGGATACTCTGTAATTTTTTGATACAGACATACAGAATGTGATTTTTCCATTTCGAATTACTATCATTGGTTACACCTAATTATTTGATTTCTTTCACAGGTAATATTGATAAACTTTGGTTTTGTGAAGTAGCGGTTTCAAGACTGTCAAAATGCGGTCTGCTTACATTATTGCAACTGATAAGTAGGTAATTGGTTTTTTCCAAGTTAACCGTTAGTAATTTATGTTCGAGCCAGTTCTTAACTAGTGAAAAATCAGTCTGAGTTTATCTTTTAGTATGTCCCAGTTTTCAGCATCGTATACTATTGCTGTGTACGTGTACATTACATCGTCTGTGAATAGAATCTGGTCTGGTTTGTACGTGATTTTTCATTTCGACTTTGCTATTGGATATAGTTAATCTGAAGTTGCAATGCTCATTATTGGAAATTAGAATTCTGGATAGACTATCTGATAAAACCATATTTCCACCGGTACTGTATGGTCGCATTATATTTTTGAATTCCTTGACAAAAAAAAAGTAAAGATACTTTCATATGCGAATACTACAGTTAGCATTTCTCATTCCATATTTGAATATCTCAGTTTAGTTTCTGACAATTTTGGTGATGCAAATGCCTGAAACAACAGTGTACCTATAATATGCTCAAAACTGTCTACTTGCAGAACTTGCACAATGGTTAGTTCATGTAACAATTTTTCTGATGCCTAATCTATCAGTTTGCCTTCTTGCACTAGCGACAAGCACCCATACAACGTTGTGAACTGTTTAATTGTTCAACTGTTTAGACTGGCCTGAACGAATTGTTCTCAGATAATTTTCTTTTAGATTTGTTATTGAATTGAGATTTTACATAAAAGTTACTCGGAGCATATTGAAAACTTTTCGTTTGGGTGTAAGAGAAGTGTTTTTAATAGGTTTTTATCACGCCAAAGGTTTCAATTCTATCTATCGCTTTAACACTGAGTCTTCAATAATTTCAAAGAGATTTTTTCAATCTCAATCCACTATATTTCATCGAAATACATAATAGTTACTTCCAATCGATATAGTATGATATTTGGAATTCGGTATTGTACCTGATGATATTTGTTTTCGAATCAGAAAGTGTGATGCCGGTAAACAATTTTATCAAATATTTCCCTTGATATTAGCAAATGATAGTGAACATTCGGAATAAAATAAGAAAAGTCAAGTAAATATTCAATTTTCAGATTCTTCTGTATTGCTTAGCTCTATTTGCTTTGAGTGAATCTGAAGAGGACGTCAATAACAGAAAAAGAAGAGGTTATTTCAGATCGACCTACCCCAAAGAATCACATCAGTTACAAATTGCCGGAATTAGCGTAGAAAATTTTGGAAAGTCTAATGGAATTTCTCTGAATGGTGCGGAGTTATTCAGAGAGGCAAATGGTGAGTCGTTTCCTCTTTTACAAAATTGAGTGTGATATTCTCTACAGAAATTCAAGTCATTTCAAGTGAAAAGATCCAGTCAGGCACTATGTCCCAGATAATAAACCAAACTTTTGTTCGGATTAAACAGAATTTTTTCAAACTTGAATCAAAATTTGGGTGGAAAGTTCAATAAAAGTATATTTCGATGTTCCGGTGATCTATAGATTATTAATCCTATGCTGAGTTCAAGTAAGACATAAGTGATATCGGTTACAATTAAATGCATTTTTCTGTTTGAAAGTCAATTCATTAAAATAAAGAGGATATTCAAAATCTGTATCGATTCAAGAATGTAGACTTTCACAGTTGGGGTGACAAAATCCGGGCTGGTAGGTCGTGGTCTCATTTTTGACTGGTTCGAACCTTTGCTGGTTTTTACTGATTGGTTGACGATTTGACAGGTACGCTGCTAATAGGATATCGATCGAAGTTGTATTCTAGTCTATATCTGGTATTCTTGAATACTAGATTCCACTTTCTGTTAACCCGTTTACCTTCTCGTCTGTTGAGATGCCCATGAATCTTGATGGCTTCTTCATGAAGTCTTGGGTGGTAGTGCATTGAATCAGACACGATAGCAGATTCTGAGTATGTTATTATGTGGTCTGTTTCGGCTGAGATATGTTCTACAATTGTTGGTTTTTCCGGTTGCATAAGGCATCAGCTGCATCTGATGTTAATGCTGCGTTTGTTAGTTTCCGTGTGTCAGAAGTTGTCGAAGGATATCTTTCATTCATGGCCTATCAGGTAGTGTTGCATAGTTGGCGAATTAATATTGTGACATTGAACGAGTTCTCTAACATGGTCGGTGGCTTCGATTTCATAATGCAAGTAGGCCGTACTTACCACTGGCCATTGGAAAACTGTTGAAACGTCACAAAAATGGGATTACATACAAACCTACTAGTCAATTACGACAGCAATCGTTTCATTCCTGAGGTACAGTCAATATAAATAGTGACTAATTTTTTGTAACTGACTACATTTCGTCACATAGGATGTATACTCTAGGTAAACAATGGAGAGTATCCAGTGCCTACCGTCCTCCTAGAGCTACGTAGATTTCGGATGTCAACTGTGCTGGATGTTGAGTTAATCATCTTCGAGAAGAATATTAGAGCCATGGGCATGTAACAACTTCACTTCATGAAAAAAAAATTGTTTCAGTGTTGCACAATTTTTGGGGCAACAAAATATAAGATACATTAGGGGACATCTAATTCCATTTTTTTGTTCAGGTAGATGATTCACATCTGTAATATCACTAGATTGCTTCGGCATACCATTATAAATTTACAGAAAACATGTAGTATCATCAATGCAACAATGACTGTTACGACAGGGTGTGTACACCAAGAACTATGTTTTCTCACATACTATTGGTTAACAGAATCATTCATTGTCTAGTAATATCACCGAACTTGTACATTTTTTAATTTCTATACTTTCTGAGCTTTCAGGAAGGACATTTGTGATTTCCAGACTTTTTTCCATTGATTTGTTTTTCGGGTTGCACAACACTTGTGTACGAGCATTTTCAGAAGCCACTTTCAATTTGTTGGTGTATTTGGGTTTGTATGGAAGTACCATACATTTCAAGTCTTGATTAAGGATTGACTATGTTACCCGTTTGTTTCAGCTATTTCCTCGATAACATTTTTCTTAATACCATATAACTGTACTTACTGTACTCTTCCATTGTTTCAATCCCAGTATTATTTCCATTTTACTGTCAATTCTTTGGATTATCTATCTGTCACATAATTGATTTTCGCCGTCAGTTAGTTTATAACACAAATTCAAAAAATAAGCAACATTTTCAAACAATTTTTTGAGGCAGAAATATAGGCTTTCACAGCTGACGTCAATATTTTGGTCGGTTTCCGGGTTGTGCCGTGATCTTCTTTGGTTACAATTTTGAAACGTTTCAACTGCAACTGCGGCGGTCATCTTCATCAACTGAAACTGCAGTCGATTCGTTAGTTCCAGTTGATACGTCAAGAAGAGTACGTCGACCACGTGACTAAAGATGACTCTCGCAGTTGCAGTTGAAAAGTTAGGAGATTGTAACCAAAAAAGACCACAACAAAATCCGGAAACCAATCAAAACAAGTTTTTGATTATGAGAAAGTGAAACTGTACAAACTAATCAAGCTTATAATTTAGGAAATCTCATGCCTGTTCCTGAGTACTCCAAGTCAGAAGCGACTGGTCAATATTCCCATATCCAAGAACTGAATCAGATTCCACAAATTGCTTATGCAAGTTCGAATGCTGTCGATAAACCAGTTCAAGAGTCTCAAGATTTTATACCACCCCAGGCAACAGGTACTGTTATTATCCCGAGGAGGCCACCCCCTGCCATACCCGTTGATACTGTTGGGTTGAATGTTCCTGGAAAGGGTGGAGCAGTATTTCTAGGTTCAGGATCTTTAGGAGTCCTCGACTTAGGAGGAGGTAAAGTACTTATGGAGTTGAACATTTCATTCTGGTATTTACTATTTATCTGGTATTATGTATTTATCAAACGACTTCTCCTTGAAAATCTATATGAGAAAAAATGTTCCTTTGAAGGATTTTGAATGGAAATAAGTTCACTTCGAAATGATGATATGTAGATAAACATGTTGTAGGTTTCTTTGTGTTCGATGATATTAACTTCTGGAGGAAGGAACATGAAAAATAACAAATATCTATAGATATTCCAAAGAATTCCTAACGAATATTAATTCAACAGAAATTATCGTTTTCTTCTCTTTATTTTGTACATCTAACTCAAAATAATACGAACCAGAACAGATAGGTATAATTTGTTGAAATTATTACTGACTTTCATGAGTGATCAGTATTTACATTTTCCTTACAAAAATTACCTATCCCAGACAGAAACTACAGTGTGAGTTCACCAAAAAAAATCTGATTCCTGAAACATTTCTCCAAAGCGGTATATTTTCGAAAGTTATAAATATAGAATGCTCCTAATCGTCTAAAATATAGAGTACTCCCAATCGTCTAAAATGCATGCAAATCAATAATTTCCGAAATGTTACTGCTTAAATGACTTGAGTCTGTAATAAGCTGACCGCAAGTCAAGAGATTTAATTTCATAGGAATCTTAATTTGAACATCATTATAGCACCCCACTTGAAGCGAGTGGAACAGATGAATATCTATTATTCATTTGTGAAATTAAATCAATGTTGTATTATTCTCCCTAGATAACTTTGTGTTATATTGAAAGCTCCTTGCGGTTTAACGAATCTGTTGTATTTGTTTGTCCTCTCCACATCCAAATGTAACCAAAATACTTCAGAGCTGGCATAGATATCTTTGATTTATTCAATATGAATATGACTGGAGTTTTTTCCCAACACCAAATCGCTATTTTTAACACCTAGACACGTGTTTCGATCACCAAGTGATCATCTTCAAGAGGAGAGAGAAATAGAGAGAGAAATATCCTTCATTGTCCAAGAAATCAAGTTCTCGTTAACAAATCATGTTAGAAAAAAAATTGTTGAAGAGTGATTTTTCAAATATACAAAATATTTACAAGAGTAGAAAAACCCTATACTAATCAATTGAAAAATAAAAATATGTCAAATATACATGAAGTGAGTGGGTGTATGAATCCCCAAAAGGCAATTCCATATCTCCGATGAGTCTCAATCATAGAGTAGTAAACCATCGCTTTAGATGTGCTAAGTTCATTTGTGACAACTCTAAGTGCATAACAATTTTTTTTATCAATGTTCTAATATGCAGATCAAATTTCAGTTTGTCATCAATAGATGTTCCTAGCAATTTTGAATTAATTTTGTTTTCTAAAGTTTGTCCGTTTAGGCTCCAATCTTCACAGGAGGTGCTAAAAGTACGTTCCATTCATTTGTATTAAAACATAAGTAATTGGAATCACACCAATTTTTTACCATTTTGAGGTCACTAGTGATAATATATTTCAATCGCTGAACATTATTTTCATGGCAGAGGATGCAAAAATTGTAAAATTTTCTCTAATTGAAGTAAAAGTCAGATCATTGAAATACAGAAGAAAAATAATTGGACCTTGAACTGATCCTTGTGGGACACCAGATAAGATCTCTCCACTGGATAATAGTTGTCCATTCGATTGTACTATTTGTTTTCTATTGCTTAAGTATGAGGCAAACCAGTCATACCAATAACCTCTGAAACCATAGAAGCAAGGCTTCTTCAAAATGAGACTATGATTTACGCAATCGAAGGCTTTTGAAAAGTGACAAAACACAGCTACTTCAGTTTCTCGTTGTTAAGGTTCGTATAAGAATGCTCAAGAAAATGAAAGATTGCATCATTGTTCTTTTTGAACTTTGAAAACCAAACTGGGTGTTTGATAAAATTTTTTGACAATCTAGAAAGGCTGGTACCCTTTTTTTGACATATTTTTCAATCACTTCCGAAAGTGTTGAAAGTAAAGAGATTGGTCTGTAATTGCTTGGATATTCTGAATCACAACCTTTGAATAGTGGAAAGACGAAAGCTGTATAGAGACATGAGGAAAATTTTCCAAACGATCTATTGATAGCTGTGGCTAGTGAATCTAGAGCAGCATCTGGAAGGTTCAGTAGAATTTTTACAGAAATTTCATCAATGCCAGTAGAATTTTTATTTTCTATGCCCCGCAGTACTTCTTTCAATTCTAATAAGTCTGTATCCTGTTTCAAACAAATTAAAACTGTTTGCTGAAAATGAAATTATGTGGAACAACCTATTTCTACTTGGAAGTCAAGGTAATAACATCGTCCCCTACGAATATTCCACATATTATTGAATCGACAAAAGGCTCAATCGTCGAATATGAAAAATGTCAAGCTTAAATTTTAATCAGTGATACCCATCAGTGGTATTAAGCTGAACCACCCAACTCACCTGAGAAGGACAAGCCTGAAAGTGTAGGTGATGGCACCTCCCGCTACGAACAACGAATGACAACAATTTAACTTTCCAATGGTTCAAAAAGTGACAAAAATTTGACACTTTCCAATGGAATTGTGTATAATCGTGTTCAAAACTGGTTATGAAATCAAGTTTGTTGTGAGTGCTTATAGGTATATCATCTGAAGGATATTTCTTGTGGAGGACACAACGTTGCTTACTGTTTCTTGAGTATAGTGCCTTCCACAATCTGAAAAATAAACGGATCTAAGTCAGTGAGAATTTGCTGAAGTATAATAAAAGGCAAACTGACGAGTTCATTCCGAAAAGTTACTGCGCAAATCACTGAGGAGTCCGATTATTCAGTAAATTCTCGTATCCATAAATTTTGCTTACAAATCGAAGAATAAATTGAATAAAATAAAATTCCTATACCTATTTTTCTTTTGTGGCCGACGTTTTGAAAAACAATTTTTTCTGGGCTTGGAAACTCCCTCCTCGATTGTGAATTACTTTGTTCTTTTGGGAATACGTCAAAAAAAATCAAATGTTCAAATTTTTCCGTCGATTGTTTTTCCTCACATTGTGTAAGGTTATAATACCCAACATAGAATGAATAATTTTTATCTAATTTCTACTGAGTTTATTATTTGTTAGGACCGGTTTTGGTGTATTAGACCATATTCAAGTAACTAATACATAAATTCAGAAGAAGTACCTAAAAATACATCAATATGGTCAGGCACCTGTAATATGTACCTTAAATAACAATTGTTACCTGAATAATCAATACCAATATTACAATATATTATTTATCTTCTATGTAAAATGGGGTAAATAGAAACAATTTTCAACTTTGAACATGAATATCGTAAAGTATTATGATATGTAAGGAATTGAAACTTACCTTGGTTTATGGGCCTTGCAGTCCTCTACAAACCTACACCATTGTTTTTTCTTAACTACAAGGAAAACAATTTGAAAAATTGAAACATTCTGTTTCTGTTCACCCCATTGAGTGGGGTGAATAGAAACAGACACTGTTTTCCAAGTATATGTATTTCAACTGCAGAACCTGTGGGGCTTATAGAAACAGTATCACTATCATGGGGTGAAAATAAACAACACTTGTTTTGATGAAAAAATGTATGTATTGACCAAATGTTAAATTACAAATGACAAAATGAATCATTGCTAGTCAAGTTAATTTGATTAATAGATAGTGAAGTTTTTGAGATCATCAAGGAAACTGATGCTTGTTTTCATACGAGAGGAAGACTCAGATGCTTCAACTGGCGGCATGAGTTTCTTGATTACATCATCCTTCAGGAAAAGGAACTCTTCTTCAGTTGGCAAAAATGTATTGTTAGAAATTGGTTTCTTGTAAAAAATTCCAACATAACCATTGTTTCCAAGGCGAGAGATTTTGCTAATGTACATGCGAAACACATTTTTAGGTTTCCCATATATTTTCACAATTGCAAAGTCATCAACCTGGAGGTCAAGTTCTTGAGCATAGTGTGCCATATCAGATTCTCCGGAGTCAGATAGAATAAGTTCTGCTTCACTATCTTGGAGAGAGTACTCTGACTCTTCTTCAGCTGAGGAATTAATATTTTTATGTTTCCTCACCTTCTCATATTTGTTATTTGACCTGCTTGTTATTTTATTTTTAGACATACTAGAACTCCCATTGCACCACCGGTACTAGCACCACCGGTATGTTCGACTGGTGAACTGGATCTTCTGGAATTGGAAAATCTGTCACAGAAACACTTTTCCCAGACTCAACAGAAACTTTCACACGTTTTTGTGAGGTGCAGTTGCTTCTGGTTTTCTGAGACTTTTCAAGAGTTGCTTGAATGTGTCGTCAATAGCAGAGACAGGAGTTGTGGCTCCTGAGTCTTCTAAAGATGGTAACATCTTTAATACTTGATTGCGACATAGAGGCACAATACCACATTTTCTAAAACCAGCAATTATGTTCTCTGATTTACACGCTTCATATAGTTTTTTAGTAAACTAGGGAACTCACTCTTTTACATAGTAGCTGTCTACTGTGTTTCTATTCACCCCACACTTCCTAAATATGTGACATAACCTCAAATAACAATCTGAAAAAAGAAAAGTGTGTTATTCATACATTCTGAAAGTATGTTATCCTTTTCATAGGTATTTATCACTAAAGAAATAGTTCAAGTCAAGAACATAACATGATAGGATATAATACTCACATGTAAAGTTCAGGAGATGACGAAATATCAACTTGAAACAAAACGTGTTATTCTTGCAATAAATCTGACTCTTCATTCTGCCAACCACATACACTTATTTTTCCCTTCAAATTTAGAGTGTTATCAACTTGCAACAAGAAATTTACCCCTTTACCACTACTTTTACCCCCTGAAATGTGACATAAAACTATTTTGGAAGTTTTGTTACTATTCACCCTACTGTTTCTATTCACCCTTTTTTACCGGCACGACTACCAACTGTTGAATGAATCCTAAACTGGATGTAAAAATTCACAAATTTAAAAGAGG